GCTCAGCAGTGATCCCTGCCAGAGTTTTGGGATGGGGAAGAGAACTGCAAGGGCAAGAGTGAGGAAAGTCATGGGTCGGGATAAAGACAATTTAATATATAAAGCAAAAGCTGCGCACAAAAGCAAAGCAAAATAGGGGATTCATTCACTCCTTCCCACCCTCAGGGAGGTGTTCAGCCATGGCCAGTGGAGCAGAGCTCCACAACATGTGACAGTGACCTGGGGAGACAAAAGCTGTGATTCTGAATGTCTCCACATCCTCTTTCTTTTCCTGTGACTGTTCAATTGCGGGGGCGGGGGGGGGGGGGGGAAGAGAACCAACCCCCAAAAAGCCCCCCACCAAAAATACCCACCAAGTCATAAAAAAGCCATCACTTACCACAAGCTGGATGATGCTCAGCCAGTTCCTGAGCAGCTGCCACCCTGAAAGCCCTCCTGTCAGCACTCCCAGCTCTTGGGGAAGGGGATTTTGGCTGCAGCAGCTCCAGGGATGTTTTCACAGCAGAGGCAAAACCCACCCAGAGCTGAGGGATGCCCCTGGCACACCGCAGGTCTGGGAACCGGAGGTCTCGTGGGTGCCAAGAGGCAGGTGGAGATCTGTGGGTGCACCAGGAGATGCTTCAGCCTGAGAAAGCCTCTTAAAGTGTTGCCTTTATCCTTCCTGAGCTTTCAGACCATGGAGTCACCCTGTTTGCTTGGACTTGGTGCCCTCTCCTGACAGCTGTGGCATGGATGCAGCACAGACCTCGGCACCACACCGACATTTATCACACACACATGTAAGCTGTTAAACTATTAACTTTCATGATTACCCACTCAAACCCCAAAAGATTATATGAGTCACAGAATATTTCCCCTTCTCTACATTGCTTTGGGGCCTTTTCATCCGTGCCTACCCCATTTTAATTCCTGAAGTGGGGTTTTTCCTCAGTCAAAAAAATTTGTATTCCATTGTTAATTATTAGTGAGGTTGCAGGTGGTTTGGACACCTATAAACTCCTGTGCACAGCCTGTCTCCCCCTGCTCTCTCTACACAGAGGTCTGCTTGCCTTTACATTTGCCTAATGAGGAGCACCTGGAGAAGAGGCTGTACCACCAGTGGGAATGGCCTGGGAGGTTGCTGGGAGCACCCTGGGCACTGCAGGTTTGAAGAGCCTGGAGAAGACTAAAGCCAAACCCAAAAGTTCACTGCTGGGACAGGGACACAGAGAGAACCCCAGTCCTCCAGAGCTTTGTGGAGCCTCCCGAGGCCCAACATGCACTGATTTGCTTTGTGAAGGGCAGATAGTGGAGGCATCTATTAATGCTTCCTGTAGGACTGGGGACAGGAATAATTAGCTAAGGGAAAGGAGGTGCCTCAGACAAGCCTGAAAAGGGAGTTCAGGGCTTGGCAAGGTTTTCTGTGCCAGGAGATGGTTGAAAAAGCCATTAGCTCAGTTCTCCCTTAATTTGCTTGTAACCCATGCCCAGGAGGTGGTGTGACCCTGGCAGCTGCTGGGCTGGAGGGTCTGTACATCAGGGACGTGGCAGGAGCTGCAAAAAGGAGGGCAGGAGAACCTGGGGGGATGCAGAGTCCAGAGAAGAGGACTCAGGAGCTGCTGTGTGTCAGGTGTTTTCTGTCTGTAGAGCCCTTTTCTGAGGAAAGCAGCATCAGAACCCAGTGGTGCTGTGCCCAGCTCTCCACGTGGCCACCCTGGCCCGTGCCAGGCCACCAGACCCCATGTTGTGCAGGCTATTTCTTCTAAATCAGAATTTTCAGCACATTTGATTTGTTTCCTTCTCCTTTCTTCTTACAGAGAAGTCAGGGAACGTGTTCTTACAGCGAACATGAGATAATCTTCAAGGAAGTCCGTTTCTACCTCTATTCTCCTCTGAGAAGCCCTGGTTTGCCTCATCCCCAAGCCACAGCCAGGTCCCTTCCTGTGCTCCCACTCACCACTGTCCTATGGGGGTTCCCAGCAGGTCCTCACCCCCTCCTCACACACAGACCACGGGGTTCATCCTGCCCTCCCAGGGAACACATCCCTGCACAGCTAGTGGTGCTGCTGTCAGTGTCTGTGCCACCTGCCCCTCCTGCCCTTTTTGTCCTCTCTGGGCTCTGGGATGACTCTCCTGGGGCTGTAGTAAGGTTTGACCCATCTCCCTGCAGAAATTACCTGTCTGAACTGATGACCACAGGCCTCCATCCTTCTGACCCTCTCATTTTGATCCCAGTGCTCATGTGGGAGGCAGAGGCAACATTTGGGCTCAGACTTGTGATCAGACCCAGACTCTCCTTAGACACCCCGCTGTCACTGCCCCATTTTTTTCCCCTTCTATAAAGTCTCCTGAACCCACCAAAAGCATCTCTGCCAGCCCCTGCTCTGAGGTCCCTGCTAGTTTGGTCCAGGATGGCTTTTTCTGCCTGACATCCCATCCCAGAGTGCTTCACTGACTAACCCAACACCCTCTGTGTGGCCAGGGTGGCTGGGGAGGCCGGTTTGGAGGGGACTCATTAGTCACTTAATTGGCCAAACCAATTAAACCCACCTGTGACTCGTTCCCACTCAGACTGTGGGTTGTCTCTCCTGTTAGAAATAAACAGACGAGCATTGGACCTGATGTTCTCTGCCTTCACGGGAATATGGTTTAATCCGCTTTCCTGAGTAAATTTCGGTTCCCCCAGAGCCTCCTGGAAGCCCCTCACGGCGTCACGGCTTCTGCAGAAAGCAGAAGTAGCTGCCCCCCTCCTCCTCGACCTTTTCCACCCCCCCCCACTGGATGTGTCCCAAAAATAAACAACACAAACCCCCTCGTCCCTGGGAAGGGGCTTCTTAGAACACGTCTGAAGTTTTCGGAAGAGCGGCCCGAGGGGGCGGGATGAGGAGGATAAATTACGGAGCCAAAGCCACGGACACCAGGCAGGGAGGCACAAAGGACAGAGGAAGAGCCCTCACGCAGCCACCATGGCCACTGCAAGGACAGTCCTGCTGCTCACCCTGCTCCTCACCTTCTCCCTGCACCGTGCCACAGGTAAGGGACCTCGTGGGCCACTGCTGCAGGTCCGGGCTCGGAGTCCCCACTGGGAATGTCCCACTGGGGAGGTCGGGCAGGAAAGCCCAGCAGGGAGTGGGAGTGGTACTGCTGGAGGGAGCAGCAAGCCCCTGGTCAGGGCAGAGCAATGCAGGGCAGCACATCAGGGATGCAGGGGTGGATGGAGAAGGTGCTGGGTGGTCTCAGCGAAGCTGGCCCTGGGGAGATGCTCCTGCAGGAGCCTGGGGGAGACTCTGGCAGCCATTCCCCAGGTCTCAGCTGAATGAGCAAGTGGTTGGACGGGGGGGGGGAGCACATTCAGCTGTTTGGAGCCTCCTAAAACGCCCTGCAAGTTGTGCTCCTGCCTTGGAAACCCCCAAAACCTCATCCCCAGAGCGAGCAGCTCGACCTTACCATGCACTCCGGTGGCTGCAGCAACACAGGCTGTGGGGGGCCAGGTCCTGTGCTGTTTCCCTCCCCACCATTGTCCACACCCCAGTCCTGTGCTTGCTGCCACGAAGGGAAGCATCCCTGCTGTGGGATCCTGCAGGAGCTGCTGAGAAGCTCCACAGTTCCACATCCTGCGGTGTCACTGTCTGGCAATGCAATTAGTTGCAAAATGCTGCCAAGGCCGTTTAAAACATCTCTCCTTTCCCTTCCCAGCCCACTTCAGACCCATTGAATGCTGCTTTGAGTACGCAGAGAGACCCGTCCGACACGTGCAGAGCTACTATGAGACCCCCATTGACTGCCCTATGCCTGCAGTTGTGTGAGTATCCCAGGGATTGCCTCCCACCCCGGCATCGTGGGGAGCTGGAGCAGCTCCTCCATCCCATCCCACCCTGCAGATGGCTCAGTCCCAGCCAGGGGCATGTGCCTGGAGGGGGCTGTGGCAGGAAGGCAGCTCAGTAGGGCGGGCAAAGGGGGGAAAAAATAGGTTTTAGTGCTTTCTGCTTAAGCCAGTGGTCTGGGAACTCAGACACAAACCATCACCCCAAGGAGGCCATGGACTGCTGGAGATGATTCCAAGCCTCCATCCAGGATGGGGCTGCACAAGGGAAGGGGAGAATGTGAAGGGAATGGCTCACAGTTCGCATTTTCACTCTTTTTCCTCACCTTCTCCTTGCAGAATTGTGGCTGCCAGAGGTGCCAAGATCTGTGCTGACCCCAAGAAGCGCTGGGTGAAGAAAGCCACAGAAAAGCTTCAAAAGAAAGAATGAACTCCATCCACCATCCCACTTGACCATCCAGTCCTCCTGTCTCTGCTGGGTGCTGATGGTGCTCACAACCCTTCTCCAAAGGCTGCTGTGGCAGTGGGCACCAGCACTGCAGGTGGAGCCAGCCCGTACCCTGGCAGGATCAGGTGACACCACATCAGGGACCAACTGGCCACCAAGCTCCTCCTGCTGCCCCTGCCCTGCCAGGCTGTGCCAGTGGAGCAAATATTTATAATAAAGACTCATTGCTATAAGTTGCTGTCTGAATTTTTCCTGATTCTTCCAGCCCAAGGAGCAGATCCTACAAGCCCAGGGCATGGTGTGACCCAAAAAAACCTCTGCCACAAGCACGTTTCTCCAGGTGGGGAGCAAACCATCCCTGGTCACAGTGTGCTTCACTGGGAATGTGATAGCAGAGCCAGCTCTTGACCCACAGGTCAAGGACACAAAGGTGAGGTTATCCTTGCCCCTAGGTAAGGCTGTACATCCTCAGAGCACACTCACAGCCCCACAGGCTTTGCAGGTCCTCCAGAATTAAGGGGTCAGCAGTGGAGGGTTCCAGGAGAAGTTACCGATCTACCAAACCCTTAACACCTTGTCAGCTTCCAAATGTGCTGGTGGCCACTGCAAGATATCTGAGGGAGACAAGAAACAATATCCACTGTGCCAGGAGAGTGAGGACACAACCCCCTTGAGATGGGCAGGGAGGTGTCCTGGCTGCCTGTCCCCCTGCAGGGCTGGGGAGGGGTATGGCACCCCAGAAACTCACACCAGGCTGCTGGTCCATCACCTCACAGGAGAGGTGCAAATCCACATGGGAAAGCCACAGAAAGGTGAAGGCAAGGAATGTGGAAAATGCCACAGACTGATCCTCAGCCCAAAGCTCCCTCAGTGTTTCATGCTCCATTACAGAACACGGCAGGACTGTATTTTCTAGGACACTGAATGGCACCGGAAAAACATCCCCAGTGACATTTCTGCCCGCAGGTCATAAGCACCATGGGATGAAGCTGAAGCAGAATCTGATGCTGGGGGACAAACATCCCATGGATTGTGCATCCCCTGGCAGAAGGGACACGAGCTGCCGGCCCCGTGCTCGCCTTCCCCGGCGAGCACAGACTGACAAAGCACACGGCTCCACACCGGCTCTTGCACATGGATGTGTATTTTAATAAAAATAATTCTGTCAATATACAGCAGAATGTCGATTTTTTTTACCATATTTCCAGTATATTTTCATAGGCTTTTTCTCAGTTAAAATCCCCCCTCCCCAATCCCCTTTTCGAAGTTTTCATGCGAAGCGTCAGATAACTTAATTCACAAATACTAAGCTTAGACTGAACCAATGTGCACAGTTTGTGTAATGTCCATTTAGCCAATGTTGTACCAAAGAGGAGGAGCTCCCTTCCGAAGGCGATGAGAAGCCTGGAGTGGCACAGGGAGATCTGCCCGGTGCCGGCCGCTCCTCCGGGGCTGGTGGGAAACCTGCAGAGACCTTGCACCCCGTGCTCCAGCCGAGCATTTCATACCTGAGTTTTGAGCAACCAGCAGGAGAGGAGTTCACTGTGTGGTGGGCAGGTCCTGGGGCTTGCCCTGCTGTGTGCCAGAGCTTCAGGTGCTGGCAGCCTCCTCCTGCCTCCCCCAGCTGCAGAGCCGTGAAGAGCGTGCACAGGTGGGACCGAGAGACAATCCCAAGCCAAGCCCTGTGCAGAGTCCTTGGTCTGGAATTCACCATAATTGTATTTTTCGAATTTTCTTTAAAATCCGGAGTATCCCCAGAGCTGCTGCTGTTTCTCCTTTCTCCAAGTTTGAGCCAAGAGTGGAAGCCCAGCCTGCAAAAATCCCTCTGTGCTCCCTTCTGGAGGAAGGATGCAGCTGAAGTCCTCCCGAGCAAAAGAGGTCTGAGCAAGTGCCTCGACCCAAATGGAGTGACCAGGGTCTGCCTGGCCAGGGGATATGGAGCAAAGAGCAGAGGTTTGCATGACCTCCAGGAATCCTTCTGTGGTGATGTGAGTGTAAATCCCTCATGGGACTCAAGGGCTTCCTGCAAGCAGGAGAGAGTTAAGTCTCCCTCCTGGAAAGAAAACAGCCAGCAGGACACGTGCTCCTCAAGTCTAGATGATGCCCTGGCTTGTTGGGCACTGCTACAGCTCAAGCTGCAGGCTCTGAGCTCTGTGGGACGTGGGGAGAGGGACAGACATGCCCACCAGCCATCCATCACCTGCCACCTCTTGTTGCAGGGAAGGATGGTGGAGAGCAGCCAATGCTGCCCATGAAAGAGGCCTCCAGGTTCTCAACTGCTCCCCTTTCCTCTCAAATCTGCTGTAGCTCCTCTCAGCTCCCTGGCAACACTTCCTCCAGCTCTGCCCTACACAGCCAATGCAACAAGACTCACAGCCACCTCTGTCTCTTGAGTAAGAACTGCTGGACTGCAGTTCCCTCCATCACTCATTCCTCATTCCTGGCATGTCCTTCCCAAGTCTTTCTGCAGAAACACCTTGGGACAGACATGTACAGCTGGAGACCCAACACTAGCTCTCTACAACAGACCTGCTGCCCCCCCAACCCACCACTCAGGCTGTTCTCACACTGGCAAGATGGGAAGTTGCTCCTTCTGCAAAGGGGACTCCTGGGTGGACCAGGGCCTTTTCAAGGTGTTCCTTCTCTCAGACTGTGACCAGCTCCACCAGCATGATGGACCCCTCTCTCCATCTGCTGCCCATGGGGCAGTTCAAGTCTGCACTCAGCTTCTTCATGAGAAGAGCTTCCCGACCCCATGTGGTGCCCCACACAGCTTCACAGCAGCTGCTCTACAGCCTGACTGCCAAGGTTCACCTCCTCAATCAACCCCACAAGGGCAGAAGAAACTCTGAAACTTGCATCTAAACAACACCTGCTATGTATTAACACAGACAGGTACCAAAGCACAGCAGCAATCCAACCTGGTTTGCTTTGCTGAAGGAGGGGATGGTTCCTCATCCCTGATGCCCAAGGTGGAAAATTATATACTCAATCCCCAGAACTAGTTCCAGCAGCTCTGCTTGCTCCAGTTGTTAAAGGGAGACTCAAGAACAAAGCTATTTAAAGAATGGTAAGGATGCCTTAATAAAATGTGAAAAACAAGGACACAGCTTGAGGACAGGTTGAGATGTCACTGTGAAAAACCAGAAGGAAAAAGGAAGCACATGGAAAGATCCTAGGTGAAGGTAACCATGAGGAATGATACTCCTGGAGGAGCCCATCTTCCATGCCAGTCACAGCTGCATCTCCCAGGGTTCCAAGAGGAACATGAACCAAGAGAAACAAGATTTGGCTCCCCTGGTACAGGAGGGATGTCTACAAACTCAAATGCATCCAGCAGAGGCCATTAAGATGGTCACAGGCTGGACTACCATGTGTATGAGGTGGATACACCTCCCAGAAACCTTTATCTCAGACACTCCAGTGCACCTCACTCCAAAGTTCTTTCAATGCATTCTTGATGCTCTCTCTCGCTGTTCTGGAGGAGCAGCATGAACCCTTCTCCACAGGGAGAAAAGCCTGGTGATGCAATTCAGCTCCATGAAGATGTCTCCACAGAACCCCTGAAGGACACTTTAACCAAGGTTCCAGGTCTGGAGTTCCCAAAATGTTGTTCTCAAAAGGCCACTTAACAGTCAGGGCATTGGGCTCAGACCCAAAGCCCAGGATGTGCAGGGCTGCTGTTCACCACCCTGGAAAACGGGTTTTCGCCAGGTCCCTGTGAAATGTTATCCTTCTGAGAGGTCCTCACTGCAGTGCTGAGTTTGAGGAAGGCAGGTGGAGTGGTTGGTGCCCAGAGCACAGAGGTGGAGTGTGTTTGCCACTCTGGAGATCACAGCTCTGGGTGGTGCCTCTGGACTGATCAGGGGAGAGCTGAGACCCTCCAAATGTGCAGCCACAGTAGAGCTGCAAGAGGTTTCTCCTGGGAGCAGTGACCAGGTTGCTCGAGGTACTTGGAATAACAAATCCCAACTTTTATAGGAGTACTTTTGAACTGCATGTAGCCTCTGTTCAGGTGGACAGCCACCTTCAAAGCTGAAGACCCCAATTCACTTTAGTTCCGCTTTTTAAAATTACTGCAACAATCCAAACCAAGTTGGTTCAGCCAACATGAACCATCAAAGAGCAGCCAGGGAGATTCAAAGGCAACAGGCTTTGAAATACGACCTGGGAAAAGCAAGTCAGAAATCCCATCTAGGAATCAGGGGTAGGTGGAGGCCTACACCCCACCACACACTGCAAACAATGCTGATCTTCTCCGTACTGAGTCATGGCCACTTTAGTCAGAATATGAGCAAAATAAGCAGAAATCAGTAGTGAAACCACCAGACCACTTGAAATAAATGAAAAAAAAAACAAGTAGCATTCATCAGGCATTTCCTGGCACCAGAATAACCAGATATCTAGGAACATCTCTTGTTTTGGGGCTTTTTCTTTTTAACAGTGAAAGGGAAACCAAAATAAAAAAAGATGCTCTAGGACAGTCAGCACAGCTTTGCTGGGAAACCAAGTGGGGCATTACTATGACACAAGATGAAAAGTCTTGGCTTAAAGAAACCACAAAGAGAAGGAACCCAAAAACCTCAGAAAGAGATAGTGTTGCTACAAAGATGAGAAGTCTGATTGCAGCCAGACTGCTGCAAGCTAAACAGGGACCAACAGCAGAGGATGTTGCCAAACGTGAAAGGCAAAGCCAGGTACTGAGTTTTTCCAACCTCAGCACCCACAATCAGCCCAGCAGTGTGCCCTAAGGCTGGGTCTAAGGAATGAAGACCCTGCAGGAGAATCTCACCAGGCCAAGTTCACAAGCTGCCTCAGGCTCTGGGGCCCAGTGGGCTGGGACAGGCAGCCCTGGCACATTTGGGATCAGAGGCTTCAGAGAGGAAACCCGTCCATCGAGTTATCTCTGCACTTGCAGCAAGGCAAGGACTGCAGGCTGGGGCAATATCCATCTGCAGGCCAATGAGCAGAGCTGAACATCAACAGATGAGCTTTCAGGCACATCAGGTGTCTCCCAGAATTGACAAACCCCAGATTTCCAAGTTAAATTCCTTCTGTTTAGTGCAGACCTCTGCCTCTGTCTCCCTAGAAAAAGCCTGTGGTAGGCAGAGCTCCCTCTGCTTTTTTCAGCTACACGAGTTAATCTGATAGAAATATCTCCATCTCCAAACCTCCAGCTGACTGTTTTCTTAGGCCACCACAGCTCTAGCACTGCCTCTACACACTGTACACCTTCACCAAAAGGTAGGGATAGCATTCCCAACCACCTCCAACACCATCTGCACATTCCCTGCCACAGTCATCTTCTGCAGTCCAGGACACACCCGACCCCTGCTCTGCCTGAATTTCAGACCCCATGTGCCAGCTACAAATCCAGCCTAGCTCAGAGGTCACACACCACTTTCCCTTCTCAGTGGCACACAAGCTCTCTTGCTGCTTCAATTCCTGGCACAGGCTAACCTCCATTTTAAGGGCAAACCTCATCCCAACCTGTTCATCTTTCACTGAACCTTCAAAAAAAAAATAAATTGGTGGAACAGCAGTAAAAGTCATGTTCAGTTTGAGCTCCCCTGGGTCCTACCCAGAGCTACTGACCTAAAATTCATTTGGTGCAGAACTGCAACTCCTGTCACGCAGCCAGGCTGAACCTGCCATCTCTTAATGGTACAGCAGAGGATGCAAAGCACATGGTGGTGCTGCCCACAGCTTCACCAGGTAACAGTACACACTCAGAAACACAAACAGGTGCTTTAAACACTTGGTATCACTCGAGTCCCTGGGCCTGATACCACAGCACAGACACGTCAGTCCATCTTACTTGGAGGTTACTCACCCACAGATCTTTGTTGGTCTCCTTTGGGCCTGAAACTTCAGTAATTATCTTACTAATCCTTAAAGAAACATTGCTGCTCTCTCCTGAATGGCTCAGGCCTGGCAAAGCTGGTACTGACCCCAACCCACAAGCTGATGTCAGCATGTCCCACCTGAGAGGGTGAGCACAGCCCAGCCAGGCTTCTCAAGACACTTCCAAAATTCAGAAATGCTCATTTAGATCAGTGTTATGGGGACGTGGGGGCAGGAAATACTGTTATTACTGAGTCTTAGTGCCAGAGCCCTCCTACATGGAGAAAAAGGAGGATTTGTTAATTTAACAAAAAACTGTCAGCCCAACAGGGCAGCACCCATGGATGTTTCTGGCAGGCTCACACAACCTGCTTCTACACATGCAGTGGCAGATGACTTCATATTCACCAGTCCTGTCCCTCCAGCTGCCAGGAGAGCTGGATTTAACTATTTCTCAGGGTTGTGAGACACTTCTACAGCACAACCACTAACACAAGGCAACATCAAGTCTTTTACTCTTCCCACTCACAAAGCCAAATTCGAGAGCCTTGGGCTCTTAGGAGAGGCACCATGAAGGACCTGGCTCCTCCAACTCCCACCATTAGTGCGTGACAGGACCTACCTCACCAGGTCTCCTGCGGGGTTGTAGGATGTGTATGTCTGGGACCGAGTCTGTGGGCAATAAATACATCAATGACTTTGTGGAGGTGGAAGAGACCTTTTTAATAAACATGATTCAAATAAAATAAAATAAAAAAAAAAATCCCTCTGAACTGCCACTGTGAGAAGAGTTCAGATAACTAGCACAGAAGATGATGCTATATGTGCACGATGGAGGGAGAAGGGAAGAAAAGAACAAGCTGTCACCAGCTTGATCAGCTTCCTCAGTAAATCAGCATAAACCAGCTCAGCAAAACTCTCCAGATAAAATATCGGTGGAACCATGAGAAACAACTCAAATCAAAACAAAGAGAAATCCCTACATCAGAAGGCGCTACATTAGAATAACCAGCGAAATACTGAGTGCTGCTGGAGCCGCAGCAATGGCAGGGAGACAGGTGAGATCTGCCAGTCGTTCCTGGGGTCAGGAATAGCCACACAGTGAGGGGACTCACTCAGTCCTTTCACAGGCAGTGTTTGTGTGTGCTAGAGGGGGTGTTGGTGGCAGGGAGGTCAGGCTATCGAACGAGGTGGTGGTGCAGAGTGGCAGCAACGGAGGGTGAAGGGCAGCACTCAACGATGTCAACTCCATCTTGCTCTGTGTTAGTGCAAATAGTCGTCTACTCTGGCAAAGGAGCAGGAGCCCAAGCCCACACGAGCCATGAGCCGCAAACACTCCGAGGCCTGGCCCAGGGCAAGCATCAGCGGGGGCTGCTTTGGCAGGTTCTGAGATTCTGTGGGGGCAAAGAAAGAAATCCGTTTAAAGAGGTGTCCCGGCTGTGTGCCAGCTCACCTGCACTCGGGTCCCTGTCAGTCCCCACTGGGCACCCAGCCCAGCATCCCTGGCAGGAGGTGCTGGCTCTGGAGGGAAGTTACTCCTTGAGTTCCGCCGGCTCTGTGCTGCTGCTCCTCCACATACCCCCCACCCATGACACGTCCCACGGCTCAGCAGGGCCTTTGAGAGAGCGCTGCTGTGGGGGCCAGAGCAACAAAAAGGCAGTGAAGCTCCTGCTGATGCTGTCTGACAGAAAACCCTCAATGCATGAGAGACTGAAGCATGGAAGAATTAGGAAATGCAGGAGAAAACTGCCACCAAGTGAGAGCAAGCTCTCCACCTCTCACGCTTGTGCAAGGCTACACAGCAGCCCAAGCCCTGGACAAACTCTTCTCTGCATCTTTACAAGTGCATGTTCACTGTGCAAGCACGAGGGAACCCTCAGCTGAGCTGGACAAGGTGTCTTGTGACCTGTGTGATGAAGCATGTCCAGACACCATCTTCCAGTCCCCAGCAACAGAAAGAGAGGCCAAAACTAAACACAAGAACTCCTGAACTTTCCCTAACACTTGCAGGCTTGCCCACCACAGGACAGCCTTTGAGAGCAGGTGTGTCCAGGGGGAGCAGCTCCCATAGGAACCAGATCTTACCCAATATAGCACTATTGAGAGCAGCACACACAGGTTCCCTCTGGATCGGGTCCAGCTGTTGGCCAACGGGGCAGTTCCAAGGGTCTGAGTAAGCTAACAAGCTAAAGGCGTCCTGTGTGAGAGAACAGAGAGGCACAGTGAGGTCCTGCAAGGCTGCAAACACACAGGAGAACAGCCAAGTCCATCAGCTGGGGCACCTCCTGCCATCACCACGGTGACAGGTGCCTACCTCCTGAAAAGAAATGGCCCTTTTCTTCTTGGCAGCAAAGGACCACACTGGGCCATCAAGATAGTGGGTTAAAGAGGGTGCCCCCTCCACCTGGCAGGGGAGCCAGCACAGGAAGGCAGGTAGAGTGTCACCTGGAGAGAAGAAGAGCATGCAGTTGCTCCAGAAAGGCAGGCAGGAGCTGTAGTTCTTCTCTCCTGTGCTGAGAATTGAGTGTAGATGCTCTATGTTCATGGTTTGACCTCTGATCCCCACACAGGCCCCCTCTTCCTCAGCGAGTGCAGAAGTGGGGGCTACCCACGGTCTGCAAGGGAACCCACACCCCCAGTCCTGGCCCAGAGAACTGCTGCAATGCAGCACAAGGCCCAGGCTTACCTGAAGCATCTTTTTGTGCACGGTGTTCTTCCCATATTCTCTGCAAAGCTGCTCGCTCAGGATCTGCAGCTCCCGCCCAAACTGGATCATTCTCTCGGTGGCAGCGTGGTTCCCTCCACAGAGCTGCCTCTGGGGACAGCTGTCTTCTGGAGGAAGGGCAGTGGAGAAGGAACAGTCATCTCTCCTTCCTCACCAATGCCCGCTCTGTGTCATGACACCCACAAACTCCTTCCCCTTCTGGAGCAGGTGGCTGCTCCCCGCTCTAAGTTTACCCCAGTGGAAGCTCTCTGTGATTCCTGCACTACAACAGCCAGCAGTGGGCTTTTCACAGTGCCTGAGAAGTACAGGAAAGATTTGAGCTCAGTTTAATGCCAGAGGACTACCTAGAAATCAAGTCTCCTGATAAAATCCCAGGAGCTTGCAACTCCAGCTGTGTTACCTTTTCATGTGTGTAGTACAACATACACAACACAGAAATCCCTTGGTTTAACAAACCCTGGACTCAGAAAACTTTCAGTCAGACATGCCAACACCACCAGCTTCCCAGTATTAGTGGCCACAAGACCCATTACAACTGGAGAAATCCCCAGTTTCAGAGGTAGTGTGGCAGATCCATCCTCTCCCTCCTGGCTAAATCACCCACAAACAGGACAGTCACAGCTGACCAGCTGTGCTGAGGCACAGCCCAGCTCAACTCCTCAGCTGGCACTTCTGCCAGGACTGCTCTGAGCTGGATTTCACGACCAGCACTGAACAAGCCTTTGACTCCTATTGCTTTCCCTGCTCCACAACATTGCCAGCACTGCTGTGAGACTGTGAAAACCCAGACCTAGTTTTAGTTCCAGGACAGATTCATTTTCCCCATGGAACAGGCACCTCGAGAACTTCATTTACAGGGTGGGGAAAGAAGCCCAAAGTACATGTTCTACTCCCCACTGTCCAATCACAGTTTTAACTCTTGATACCAGCTCTTTTTATTTCCCTTTACCCCTCCTGCCTCTGAGGCCCTACCCATGCTGGACTCATCCGTCTGCAGGATCTCTTCATGTTTGTAGGTGCCATTCATTATCCTGGTGGATGAATTTTCCAGGACTCCGTTGGGATAATGCTCAGCCTCCATTTCCATCTCGCTGTCACTGAGGTGAAAAGAGGGAAGAAAGGTTAGATCTCTAAATTAGAAAGGGAAGAAATTAAGAGCTCATGTGCCAAATGGTGCCCAGCAATGGCCAGCAGAGAAGGAAAGGTGCCAGCTGGACTACAGGGAGCCAGATGGTCTAAGTCAGTGTAGCAAAAATTGTTGCAGGCTTCTGAATACAATTTATGAAACAGGTTTCTGTTCTGGAAGTGCCTGTCATAATTCCAGGTGCAGAGTGCTTTGCATTTTCCCTTCAGGAAGTGTTCATCCCTGGGACAGCAAACAGCAGCCAGACAATAGATAACACACTAACAGACTGCACAGGAGGGGAATCTTGGCTAAGCCCTCAGTCCTTGCAGAGAGTGCAATACAGAACACTTAAATGTTCAAGACAGCAGGTTGGCTGAGACTGCTGAATAACTACTGATTAGAGTGTCTAGACAAACCCATGGCACCAGTGTAATGGGACAGCTTGGTGTCTGGAACAGGAGCATCATAATATTCCTGATGAGATAAGCCTCCAAGCCTGAGCCACAGAGGGGAAACTGGAATGGGTTTGTGGCAGCTGGGAATTGTAGATACCAAATATTGCTCAGAAGGGCAGGACAGATGACCTTCTAGCTCCTCAGAAAGCAGACCCTTTCTCACCATCCCACTCTCACTCAGGTGTCTCCAGAGGAAAAAAAAAATACCTGGTTTCTTGATTACTCGTACTACTGTGCTGCTGAGATTTGGTAGAATCTGTAGAATTGGACTCAGAGTAGTTCACAGATGAGGGGGAAGAGGAGGAGGAAGATGAAGATGATGAACTCAGTGCTGGGTATTTACTGTGACTCTGTTTGCTTTTTGTGGACATGACTCCATTGCTACAGGTTGGACTATCTGCTCCTGGAAGCCAAGAAGAAAGAAAAATAAGACCAGGCTGACAATATTACTCTGTTGTGAAGTCAACAATTTGGCACAAGAGGCTTTGCTTTCCTGACCTCCTCTCACCACTGCATCAGTGAGACACTGAGTCACCGGTGGCTGAACTAAAGGGCCGCCTTCAAAACCTTCTTTATTCTGGAAAAAACCTGCTCTGCAGACAACTAATGCAAAACCAATAAATAACTAATGCAAAACCAATTCTGCAACAGTGTAGAGACACACATGCTAACTAACAGTACATCTCCTCAGCTGGGTGTCAGAAAGGAAAGGAGCATTTCATGGAATCATGTCCACCTCAGACACCTGCTCTTCTGTCCTAGTTAAAACAGCTGGGACCAGTTCATCACTGGATGGGTGTAACCCAAAACTGTGTATTCTATAGCCTTCCATGCCATTTCCCAGAAACTCTTATCAATGAACCATTTACACCATCTGCCCATAGAGCCTGACTCCTCAGGCTATAAACTAGGGGTTAAGAAGCCTGTGAGATAGGAGGATGCTCTTGTCCTCACACCCTTTGTGGAGCTTCTCGCCCTGAGGGAAGTACTGGGCATTCCTGCCTGAACTGGAGGATATATAATCTTGGAGTCTTGGAACTTTTTGAACCACTCGTGGGATCCAGAGGAAGACTGCAGATCACCACTCTCAACCAGACTGAGACCACCACGCTTGACCAGACTGCACCAGCACTCTCACCAACAGGTTTTCCCCTCTCCTTTTACTTTGGACTCGGGGGGGCCAAAGAACACCACTCTGCTCACACCCCAGGGTGCTGGGTTATACATCTGGGTTTTGTGGGTTAAAACCAATTGTTTGTCTGTATAATCATACTTATTGTATTATTTTATTAAATTGTTATCCTGACTTATAATCTCTCTTTTGAGTTGAGTTCATTTCCCCTGCTGGTTTACCTTTAAACCAGCACTCTTGACTGCTGGTTTACCTTTAAACCAGCACATCTTCTCACGGGGAGACAGGGGGAACACACTTCTTACCGGTACTGTGAATGTGGGAGTTGCTCGATCCGTGTCTCGGACTGAGGCTGGGGGACCCGGGGTAACTGTCCTGGGATCGGGGGCTGCGGGCGCTGAAACAACGCACCTCGCTGTCCGTGCCGTTCACCATCTCCACGAACTGCCGACACCTGGTTTCATAGGAGGGGAGAAGGGGAAAAGGGTGTGTGACAGCCAGGATGCTCTGCACTGAGCCCTCCTCAGCTCCCGAGTGGAGAAGTCCTAGAAACCGCGAAGGAGTTAAAACCCCTTTGCTTTCAAAAGGACATTTCAGACTCCTGATGCCTTTGTGAGTGCTCTGATAAAGCTACAGGAAGAAGGAATCCAGAAACTGCAGCTTTGATGCTAATAATTGTTGAGACATTCCTAAAAACCAAGTTTAATTCCACTGTGCTAAGAAGAAACTGATCCTTTACAGCTTTCACCTCCACCTCCTCTGTAGGTACTCCAAAATTCAACTGTGGGAGATTTTTTTCAAGGGGAAGATACTAAATCTGTCAAACATCATAGGTCCTTCACTGCTCCATCAACCTAAAAACACTGGTGGCCAATGGAAAATAGAGAAGAAAGAGTAAAAAATTTAGTGACAGTGAGGACAGCTCCTCATTTAGCTTTACTGGGAACTGTCCTCATGTCTCAGAAGGTTGGGAGAGCCGCTCAGTACAGCTGGAGAACTGGAACATTTTTTCCTTTAGTCTCTACCCCACACAGCTTTTTCCATTCATCTGCCTTTCCAGGAACCTCCACAGTGACTGCCACTGCTCCAGCAATGCAGGTTCTCCACAAGACAAGTGAACACCACCTGTGAAGGAGTTTCTGGCAGTCAGCAGAGCTAAAAGTCACCCAACTCTGCCTGACCTCACGAGGCAAAGCCATACTGGCTCTGAGCAGCAAAGGGCTACAAGCACTATACAAAGGACTCCCAAAGGGAATCTCAGTTGGAATTCAGAGCAATGTGTGCAGCTGGCCTGGATGTCTGGGCAGCCTCTTCTCTCCTGCATCTACACATTTCAGGAGTAGAGAGTATAAAGCTATTCATACTTACTTTAACATGAAGAGCAGGTTGGGGTTATGTTCTAGGAGGCCAGGATAGAGTTGCTGGGTGGCTTCTATAGCCTCTCCCACTCTGCCTGCTAATACTAGCTTCTGTATTCCTGAAAGCAAAGGGAGACCTGGTGACACACAGGACCAGCCCACAGGAACAGCCAGAAGGGCTGTCTCATATATACCACCCAGCTCCCCACAACCACCTTGCACAAGGGCTTGGGAGAACTGGGGACCACATTTTGTTTATTATGGATTAGGGTGAGGAAAATCATGTGAAAATGAGGGAGGATTTCTTAGCAGCAAAAAAATACCCAGAGCAGAAGGTTCTGAAGGATGTAGTAGGTGAGCTGGGGTGGGGTGCTCTGAGACTTTAGTCCTTTAGCCACAGAGCTCTGCAGCAATGGGAAAGAAAGCAGGACATGCCAGCTGGATGGAAACAAGGAGGCTGCTGGGAAAATGACAATTTCAGAGGGAAGCCCCTAAGTCACCCCATATTACATCCTCTGCCTGGTTCATGCTTGGAAGTGTATGTCTGGCTGGGAATCAGATAAGAGGAGTGTTCTTAGAGGGTCTGTGGGCTTAAACCACAGCACAGTATCCCCAATATCCCCACCTCTAAGCAGAAGTAATTATATCAACAAACTGGGTTCCTGCAAGCCTCACCTCAATGTATTGAGAGAATTAACCAGAGAATTAACCTGAGTTTGGCCTGCAATGAGCCAAACTGGCTCCTAGAACCAGCTGTTGACTAAGCTAGAAACAGCTCAGCAAGTTGTACATTTTCAGGAGCTGTAAAGAGACAGGGCAGAAGACACCTATCATGCTGGGTGTTCATGTCCCATGTATGTTCCTTCAGTGGGCCAGAAGACACAAGTGCCAGACTCATCTTGAAATCTCATCCCTAAACGCTCAGAGAAGCTGCTGATCTACAGATTTGCATTTTATTTTTTTTCTAAGTGTAATTAAAACTAAAACTGCATTGTTTTTCCAGCACTCCTTATAAGCAACAGAGGGAAGTTTTTGAATGGCCTGTGAGGTGCTTTGCAAGCAGAGGCTCAGATAGTAAGGCTGTGGCTTTTGCTAACCATGAGCAGTTGGAAGCCCAGCCTGGTAAATCCTCATTAACAATCCCCAGTAACAAACTGCAATGACTTGTCTTGGCTCCCACTTCTCACTGTCTATTAGCTTGTTATGGTAGCTGAAAGCTGGAATCAAAGCTGTGACTCTCACACCAACACAAGAGCTCTCACTTCACTCTGTTCCTTCCTCGCACGTCCGTTTTTAAGTCTTGCTGCTTTTGACAGCTCCCTGCTCTGCCTCATTTGGCAACTCTCAGGGATGCCATTCCCTTTCTCATTTTCCCTTCTTTTTTGTTTTCCCATCTGTGTTTTCCTCACACCTTTTATTTAAGCCCCAGCTTGGAAGCTCTGTGTCCCCTCCCTCCTCTTGCCTCGTCCCCTGCCCTCAGACAAACGCGAGGCTCTGCCGGCTAAACCCACACCAGTGGGAACACTGGCTGGGGTCAGGGTTGCATAATGCATGACCTGGAAAGCACAAAAGCCCATCAGCACTAACAGGCAGTAACTACAAGTTATTTAAAAAGCAGAGTCCCCAGATGAACCTGAATGCTGGCTAAGCATACGCAATGTATGGAGAGCGAGCCACAAAGGGGCACAGGAGGAGCAGTTCACAAAGGGAAGGGCAATGCACTGGGTGGGATGCAGCCTGTATTCAACAGCCAGAAGAATGCAGAAAGCACACCAATGTTCTGCCACTCTGCAGTCTGAGCCTGTGAATAGAAAAGCTTAAAATAAAAGGTACAGCGGGGGAAAGCTGCGGGCCTGATTCTGCAGGAGCCAAAAGCCTTACAAGCTGAGAGATGAGCCACGTGGGAGGAAACAGCAGCAACCAAACCAGACAAAATATGAATTCTTCACCTAGTGTGAGCTAAACACCCTGGCTGTGAAAACAAAAAACCCTCAGTATACAAAAATGTCACCTGAAATCCAAATGTGCAGATGGACTGGGAGAGTCCTTAACTCTGGGAGCTGCAGTCAGAACAGAGGGATGTGTCTGGGTCCCTGTGACTATGGGACTGCCCCTGCTGCAACAGCCTGCAGCAAAGGACTCAAATCCAAAGGGATCTCTGGTGCACACTGACCTCAGCTCAGGCAAAGGCCAAGCACAGCAGACAGGTAAAGGCAAGAACAGGGCAGTTCTCCAGGCAGAGGTGGCAGAGGGTGGAGGGGACACAGTGATGATGGAAAAAGTGCTCCCAGCAGAGGTTCCCAAGCTCTACTGACCCACCCAGTGTGCTGTGGAGAGCTTTATAATGTCATGGAGTAACTTTTCTGCTTCCACAGCACTTCACTCCTCTGCAGAGTCCTGAAGGAACACGTGGCCAGTGTGCCACACTTTGGGAATGACTTACTTTGTCTATTCTTTATTGAGGTCTGTTCTTCCTGGATTGTGGTGTCTGTGACTCTGGCAAAGGCAGTTGCTGTGGAACAGTACCCATGATGAACCAAATATGATGAAACCATACTAGAAAAAAAGAAAATACAAAGAGATGAAGTGACATTGGTGAAACAGGATCATCACACTGGAGAAAAAAAAAGAAAGCAACACAACAGAAGTTGCAATTTCAGTGACAAACTCAGCTTGCTTAGGACAGAACCAGGGTCCTACTTCTGGGTCCAAACAGTGTAAATTTACAGGAGAGGCACCACATCCTCTGCAAACAGGAGAGAGGCTCTAAATTCACCTTACAGAGGGGAAAAAAATAAAATATTAAGGCTCTTAATGCATACACAGTATTTATTGATTTGATGACTGCTGTCCAAGGGTCACTTGTAAGGTCTCAGTATTATGTTACTGCCAGTGACACCCTATATAGATATAAATCTGAATCCCAGAGAGGTTCATGGCTTTCAAGTAGATCTAAAAAAGAAAAAAATATTCTGGTCCTGAATTTCTTCCATCATTTATTTTGCCAGCAATTATATCTTTAGTAGTTGAATCTCCTTATGAATTCTACACATTCACAGATACTCTGATCTGATGACTGTCAGCAGTGATTTTAAAAACATAAACACACTTTGAAGTTGCATTTTCAAAAAATGTTGCGGGGGAGGAGGCAGCATCACCATCAGAAAACAAACACAACAACATCATCTTTCTGAACAGACCATTTCTAACACACTTGTGCCTTCCCAGGACATGGTGAGTAAATATTAATGCTCACTGGATTTTAACAAAATCTAAAGAACCAGCACAGGATTTCAAAGCTTGTCATGATGAATCTCAAAAAAAGGCTTCCCATGATGAAGCTGGCATTGATCTGATCAAGTCACAGCTCAAAGCACACGTTCAACTCGGCCACTTTCAGTATAAGGAAGAAGTATTTTATGAGTCAGCAATAATTTTGAGGTGTAACATTGTATGCAGGTGTGTAATTTCCAAAAGTTTTTTTAAGTACAGGTGCTTCTGCCCTTGTAATGTCACCTGTGAGGAACTCCAGCGTGGTGACCCTGACACCTCTACCATGCCTGTCAGACAAAACAGTTCTGGAGAACAGTAGGAACAAATACAGGGATAAACTGGTCTTCTAAAGGGATGTCATGGCTTTCTAATTTTGATCCATTTTTGGAAAGGAGTCTGGAAGCAGTCAAAAAAGGGATGCTTTTGCAGTGCACTTAGTTGTATTTCACAGAGTCTTTCAGCAAAGCCTCTCAAAGAAATAGTGTTATGATGTGTTATGAGGAAAGGTCCAACATGGTTAAATGTTCAGTTAAATAACAGAGGGGCAAAAAAATGGTCTGTTTTACTGGGGAAAGGAAAAAAACCCCACTCTAGAGCTGCAGGAACCCATTAACATATTCATAAAATTGAGGCTGACACTGCACTCACCCACTGCAGGTGTTTTTATGTTCAAAGCTCATAGGATCATAGATCATTAAGGTTGGAAAGGACCTCCAACATCAACAAGTCCAGCCTTTGACCAAACACCATCATGTCAACTAAGCCACAGCACTAAGTGCAACATCCAGCTGTTTCTTGAACACTTCCAGGGATGGTGACTCCACCACTTCTCTGGACAGCCTGTTCCAATGCCTGACCAGCCTTTCAATGAAGAAATTCTTCCTGGTGTCCAATCTAAGCCTCTTGTGGTGCAACTTGTGGCCATCTCCTCTTGTCCCATCACTCACATGTTACCTGGGAGAGGAGACCAACCCCCACCTGGCCACAGCCTCCTGTCAGGGAGTTGTAGAAAGCAAGAAGGTCCCCCATGAGCCTCCTTTCCTCCAGGCTGGACCCCCCCAGCTCCCTCAGCTGCTCCTAATCAGACTTGAGCTCCAGATCCTTCCACAGGCCCACTGCCCTCCTCTGGACACACTCCAGCACCTCAGTGTGTCTTCAGGCAGAAGATGCTCCTGACTTCTGACAACTCTTGTCAATTGTTCTCATCAAGTTCCACTCAATCCCTTTTGCAATGGGAACTGCATTCAGTATTGAAAAATTTATGAAGTGTCATAATGTGCTTTCAGTTTTTGGAAGCCTTTGGTTTAGGCTATTTCTTGCTCTTTCATTTCTAGGTTCAGCTGATTTACACCCTGGCTTTTCTCCTGTGTTTTCATGGTGTCCTCTCCCCTCCCCTTCCCCCAGTGCCTCACCTCAAAACGTTATGTTCCTCCATCCCTACAATCTTTCGTGCATTTTTGGCTGAAAACTTCTCCCATACCTTTTACATTTGAAACAGCAGCAACCCAGACAGGGAAAACCACTGAACGACAAAACGGAGGGCAAAACAATTCGAGCAAAAACGCACCGAGGGGCAATTTTTGCCATCAGAGAGCATAAATCAGCATTTAAAGCCTAAGAAGGTGGACAGCAGGGCAGGGACTTACTTCTGCAGCATGGCTTGCCACTCGCCCAGCCTGTCTCCTATGGGAAATCGCTTAATGGTGCTCTGGATCTTCGCCCGCCACTCCCTCATGTAGTCCTCGATGTCGAACACAAAGGGCTGCTGCCCAAAGTTGGCATCCACGATCTCTCCTGGAGTCTGGAGACCCACTGTGGGGTAGAGATTTGACTGGAAAGGGAGAAAAAAACAAAAAACAAACCCTGTGTTAAATGCAGCTTTCTCTTCCTGGTTCCAGTTACGTGGTTTGTTGAGACAAAAGAGCCGCTCTTTAAATTGAAATAAATATAATGGAATAGGAAGAGGCAACAGCCCCTTAGGTGCTTCTCAGGGAACCCTGTGACTTATTGTGCAGTTATAAAAGTTACTGCATAAAACCAGAACAACAGGTTCAATCCTCCAGCAGCCTGTGATTGAGCTGTGACTGCTTCTGTAGATGGCTTAGTTTTCTGCAATTTCTACCAAAGTTCAAGATCCAGCAGATAATAATTAACATAATAATAATTAACATGGTATTTAATATAATAATAATATAATAAGAATAATAATGAGAAGAAACAATGAAAGGTGCATCATCTCAAACAACAGATCTATGTGTTCTCTGCTGTTTCAACTGAATTATTTTATCCCTTGGAAGTTGCTATCACGATATTTGACAGATGAATTTCATATTAAGAACAAGTCTATGGATCCAAATGGAAGCTTTGACACACCACCAGGACATGAGGAAAAGAGAAAGGTTCCCACCATGAAAATACCTCTAAAATTCAGCCAATAATTCAGCTTCTAAAGATGATCTAATTGAAAATAGGTGGCCAAAGTCTACCTAGAAGTTCTCTGAATTCACACTATTTTAAGAATAAGCTTATGCATACAAATTGAATTCCTGAGCCCACTTAGATGTTGGGAAAAGAGAAACAGCATCAGAAAAGGTACAGGGGTGGCACGATACAGAAGAGCTACCAGAGGAAAATGCTGTATTTGAAGTCAGTCTCTCTATTCTTTCAAAAGTGGCTGACAAGGAAATATCTCTAATGAGGAATCAGATCTTTTTCACAGACCATACTTAAGACTTTTTAATAAACTGTTTAGTATTATAAACCCAAGAACTTCCAAAGCCAGGAATCAGACACCCAAAACACTTAGAAGGAAAAAAAAAACAATTTACAAGATATCATGTATTTTTCAGCCATTTCTGGGCATGTTAATTTTTGAGGGGAAGCTGCTTCCCCTCAACTTCTCTAAAATCATCTCAGAGTTAAAATTCCATTTCTCACACATGGGATGTGTTCTCTCTGTTTAGCAACTGCTGGGAACTACATGTATCTCCAGCACCCTGCCACATGCAGGGAGAGTTTGTCCCAGAGACCACTGACCTGCCAAGTTCTTCAGGCACACCTTCCCCGTGACATCTGGACCATGTCTTGCCCTTGGTGTTGGTGGCCAGTTGCTCACAACCCCCTTGCTGATCTCGACCTGTTTTTTGACCCCTTTCTCCCTTTCTACTCCTGCAATCCCAACCTGGGCTCTTCCACATTCTGCTTTTTTTCATTTCCTATTGTTCTGGCAAACCTCCAGACAGGACAGACCTGATACAGGCTTGTATAAGGAAGAGTTGGGCCTAAGCATTGGCTTAAACTGGCAAAAAAGGGGAAACTCCCTCTGCGGGAACTCACTTCTATTTCAAGCAGTTATTCTGGTATTAACTTCAGCTTGTGCTAAGCCAAAATGTGGTTTTTCCCACTGTTGTATTTTTGTACAAATGCAAAAGCCTTTAGAGGAAACCGAAACAAGATGAACCAAATATGTCTCGCCGTGTCTGACGCTGGTTTTCAACTTAAAGGATCCACTTTAGCTTCCTAATACTGCAAATATTGCAAAATATTGTCTTCACCAGTTGCCTCTGAAACGGAAATTTTGGAAAAAGCACTTCAAGGAAATGATTTCTAAACTGGTGTTGTTTTGAAGGGTCAATTTAATTCCTTGTGCAATCTCACCAACATGGAAACCCTAAAAGTTGTTTAAGCTTAAAATGCATGGAAGTAATGGGGCTTATTGGCCAAGCTTCTCACTGATGTGTGTTATCTGACAGGTTCCCATGGGTTGTAACACAAGGAAAAGCTCTCACAGCCTCTCCTGGGGGATCAGATCCACAGCCAAAAATTCATGTGGAGCTGCTCAAACCAGAGCACTTCAAGGGTCACTCAGGTAAGTTTTCTGTTCCCACTCCTGTCTGCAGTTAAATTTTTAGACTGCAGCTTTAGAAGGTGAAGAACACAGATTGCATTCCACCTCTTTCCTATGATGGATGCTTTGTGTTTGAGCCTGGATCACAGTGCTGTAATAAATGGAAAAATCCCACCTGCAAATTACATCAACTTCAAATTCCCTGTTACCTCAAGACTTCTACAATCTCTGACAATAGTCATTATACTTAAAATAAAACAAAAGCCTGTCTTGGGTTGGCACCCTCTTCTTCAGGAAAGGCACTGGTAACCTCAACTGTTTGGAACAACCAAGAATCCATGGATCAAGGGAGCAAAAAGGGCCAGAAGAGGACATGGAATACATCAGTATCTGCAAGGGTGAAGGAAGAAGGCAGTAATCCAAGGGAAGGATATTGGAAAAGAGAATGTTGAAGCTGGGTGCAGGCATCCCTAGGATGAAGCTGCCAGCACAGCAGCAGAGCCATTTAGTATATGGAGAGGAATGTCCAAAATCCACATGGAGGCAGAAGTCTCCCATTCTTGCTCACATCCACAGCTAAGGGGTGACATGACCCACACAGGCTTCTCTCATCCTCTTTTTAAAGAGGAATTATCTCATGAAGGATAATTCTCAATAGCAGGAGGCCTACAGGGCATCAGCTGTTCTCCTTCCTGGCCCAGAAAAACAGTGTTATGGATTAGCTGCTGCTGTAAAAGCCAGAAGGGGATTTCCACGGAAAACAGCTCAGCAAACTGGCTGGTAAAAGGCACAGAGACACCAATTAACCACTGGAGACTCCACTGTAAGGCATCTGAGTAGCTGATCCCAAAACCCACCTGACCAGGTCTTCTCCCAGTTTCACACTAAAACATCTCCTCTGCACAGGACACAGATGAAATGAGCCCGAGATCCTGTAAGGATGATCTGGCCAGATCGAGGAACAGCAGGACAGGGAGATGCCCTGGGCTCAGAAGGGTTTTGAATTCAATCACTGCGAGACCTCCCTGCTGCCAAACCCCTTCAGTGGATCTACTGGTGTTGGCCTGACCTGGTTTTATCTGCTACTCCTAAACACATCTTCCTTGTCCAGGAACACTTGGGTCTGAAAAAGAGGGACCGTTTTCTTGTTCATGACCCACTGTGAAAGTTGTGCTTTTGTAAGGCCCAGCTGGACATCACTGCCTGGAGTAACTCAGGAGGTCTCACTGCACTCAGGAGTAGCTCAGCAGCAGGGCTGGTGAACCCCAGGAGTAACTGTCAGGCCCACATGGATGGCAAATACATTCCTCCAGCAGTTCCATGAGCCAGTTCTTCATCATGGGCTTGTGAAAAACCTGTGCAATGAGAGCACACACCACAGGAGGCTGAGCCTGGTCCCCTTCTCAGAACTCCACTGTGGCTGCAAAACTTGGGCAAGAGAGGAAGAAGCTGAGAAAAATAACATTAGGCATTTTGGGGCTCTCAGATGATGGGATATGAGAGGCTACCCTATAACTTTGCACAAATACCCCTCACAGCTGAAGTTGCATTTGGAAGACAGTGACCTGCAAAGAAGTCTGAATCCTTGCTTTAATTCCAGGGGAAGAAGCAACATATTCTTAGAGGTGGTGAGGGATGAGAGGAGGCATGTGAGTAGGCCACAAACCCAGTCACAGGATCAGGAAGTTTCAGAAAAAGGAGCATCCACATAATTCAGTAATGTGTGTTACCATGTTGTTTTTTTTTTAACAGGGCATCAAACAGAAAAAAAAATCACACCCCCACACTCTTCCCCCTCCCTTCTGTTTGCATCCTTAATTAAAATACTGAAAATAGGTGTACTTACAGGGAGGTCTGTAAAGGCTATACCTGTGGGGGGAAAAATATTAGAATTAAAAAGACAAAGGATTTTTTTCCCTGCTTGCCTACATCCTCAACATGCTAAAAACGTTACTGTATTTCAGTAAATCCCAGCTTTGACCCTGCATTTCACCACCTGACATATTTAGAAGTAACTTCCCTCCCCAGCCCCCTCCACTGCAAAATTTTGCATCTGAAGAAAGGTTCAGGGTTTCCGATGTCTCTCCCAAAAATTTGATTTTCTAAATGCAGCTCCTCTTTCCTTTGCTTCTCCCTCTGTTACTATGAAGGAGTTAGTTTGCAAGACTCACTATGGCTTTAGAAACAGAATTTTTGTATAACAGTGCTTTTGTTTAGGCTATAACTAGTTCTTCTTACCAGCCAGAGAGATTCAACACTTTGCATCACAGCTGGGGAACAGCCCTGCAACAAGACTGAGCTGGAGCCAGGAGCACCTGAGGAACACTGTGCAAGGAACAGCTGCACCCTCAACTCTGCTGCTGCACTTCCAAGTATAAGAAATGGGAAAAACCATGTATGGTTTCTCTTTTTATTAACACCTGGCATGCCAGAAAAGAGGCAGCTAAGCTGAGGCTGTTATTGCTCAGGATGGCTAACAGAGTTTTGGCTAGAGACAACACTCAGCCACAGTCAGGCTACCCCAGGCACAGCTCTGCAAACCCATCAGCCTGAAATGGTAATTTAAACCAGTTTTAGGAGTCAACACAGGAAACAAATAATTACTATTCAAAACAGCACAGATCCAAAATCAAGCGCTCAGAAAGAAATCCTAAATATTTTACTAAATAAAGTTAAATTAACATCCTGGCAGATAGCCAATACGGTTTAAGGAACGACCAAAATTTGTGCATACAGGTGATGTTGAACAGCTGGCTGAGGACAATGTTCAGTAAGCACTTCCCTCACCTCCTCACGTTGCCCAAATATTGTTCCTTACTCTGACCTTTCTTTTTTTTTCCACTCTGCAGTTGTTTTGCTCAGCTGGATGAAAGATTGTTTCTACCCTTATGCCAGAATGAGGTCAATCTCCTTGAGCCTGTTGTCCTGGAGTCCTCCTCTGCCCCCAGCATCACTGGGAGCCAAAGGTGGCCCGGCTCGTGTCGCTGTACGGCTGGAACTGCTTCCAGCACATGGACAGGGATACGGGTTTTGAGTGGACTACAAGGTGGGTGGAAAATTGGCTGGACTGTCAGGATCGAAGGGTTGTGATCAGCAGCTCAAAGTCCAGGAGCTGTCCCTCAGGGATCGATGGCAGGGCCAATACAGTTTAATGTCTTTACTAATGACCCCGAGGATGGGATGGAGTGTGGTCACAGCTGTCACCAAACAGCAGAGTGGACAACAGCCTGCAGGGCACAGTGCTACAGCTGGAGAGATGATCCAGCAAAAACCCCCCAGAGCTCAACAAAAGCGACTGAAGAGCCCTGCCACCAGGTTGTAATATTCCCAGAAAACAGGACAGGCTGGGTCTGACTGGAGATAAAGCAGAAGGGGATTCAGGGTCTTGCTGGGCAACAAGGAGAGCAGAGTGGTGGGTCTGTGCAGTGAGGGAGATCAACCACTTCCTGAGCTGTATTAGTGAGAGTAGAGCTGGGCTGTATTAGCAAAAGCATAGGTTAAAGGAAGGGATTTTTCCCTTCTCTTCCAGCCCCAGTGAGTCTACACTGTGGTATGATGTCCACTTTTGGGCTCTCCAACACAAGACATGCTGAGGCTGAAGTGAGTCCAGCAGAGGCCAGCAAGACAAAGAGAGGCTAAGGGAAGAGTCACTGTTCAGTCTTAAAAACATTAGGGCAGACACTTGTTGCTGCCTACAACTACCTTATGGGAGGGTATAGAAAAGACTTTTCTCAGAGATGCTTGGTGGCAGGAGACAGGAGGAAACAGAGACTAGCTGCAACATGGGGAAGTCTGATCAGAAAAATTCAGTATGGATGTGGTCAAACACTGAATTAGGGGACCAGAAAAAAACCCTGGGTGATCTCCATTCTTGAAGACAGTAAAAGCTTGATGAGTTTCTGAGCAACACAGTCTAGCTGGGCCTGCTTTCAGCAGGGTGTTGGATGCATGACCCCCAGGAATCCCTCCCAGCGAAAATTACTCTGTGATTCTATAAATAAACTTATGACACTGCCCTTATGATAAGACAAACGTATGTTTTGCACCTTTTGTTACACAACTAAGACTAATAAAATGCTTTATGCCACAGCACTCGATCTGTTGCACAAACACATTTGCTTAGAGTTCATCCTGCATCTGCACTGCTCCACACCTGCACCCAGCAGACTCAACAGCACAGAGTGAAACAATCACAGCTCCAACCAGGCAGCTGAATGTGAAACTGCATCCTCTCTCTGCAGCACCTCCAAACCCTGCATCCAATTTAAAACATCAACCTTCATAAATTTAAGAACTGGACAACTCAAGAAGTCAGGAGGCAAGAGCAAAGGTGTGAAGAGCCTCTCCTCTAAGTCCACAATGTTAACATGATCATCAAGGCAGTGATATAAAGGCATTAAATGAAGGGGGGACAAGAGATCAACACCTTCACCTGCCTTCTAATCAAAGGACTTCCAGCTTTCCATGACTAAAACACACTTATGCACGTCCCCATGCACACAATGTGGACCTCCTGGCCCGTCTCTACTCTCCACCCAGTAACAATCATCCTGTCTGCCTCACAGCTGGCCACTGTCCTCACAAGACACTTCAGAATTCAATTTGCACAAGACAACATGCATGTGGAGCCATGGCACTCCCCTGCCTGCATGTCAGGATACTCCTCCAGCATCTCTTTAGGCTACCACGATGCAGAGAATCCTTAAGCAGTGCTGATGGATTGCAATAAGCACCAAGACATTCAGCTATGAGCAACCTGATCCAGTGGAAGGTGTCCCTGCCCATAGCAGAGTAGTTGGAATGAGATGACCTTTAAGGTCCCTTCCAACCCAAACCATTCCAGGATTCTGTGATTTTAAATTTGATTAATCTGAAGTGTTGTTTTAAACAACCCAATGCTCTCGCTCTCTGCAAACTTCATTTGAAGTTTTCAGGACAAACCTACTAAATCTGGGACTGACACCTGTGGATCTCTATGACAACAGATTTCTTCATTATCCCTAATGTTTCCCTTAGTCTCTAAACTGGCTGCAGAATGGATATTTTACTTTACAGGTTAACTCAGTCTTTCCAAGAGCCTGCACTAGAACTCAAGCTACAGGAAGTTTTCTATGCCAAGACTTCAGAGGGTTGCGTGCTCTTTTTATAGTCCTGCTGCTCCATTTACCTTGGTCTGCTGTCAAAGTCTGAGATCTGAGACACTCCTACATTAGTTCCCGAGTAAACTCATCCACTTAAACCCAGAGACCTGTAGCAGTCACATCCTCTCCTTATGTCCTGGGCCAAGACTTTCTGTTTAACAGCTGGAGCTCCAACATTTCTCCCTCCTTCTCTCCTAATTCACCCTCACCACATCTCATTGTACTTTTTACTGCCAGGACTCTGCTCAGAACTTGTCAAAAGCATTTCATCAGCAGCCAGAAGACATTCAAGACATTTTCCAGAACAGAGAATTAAGACTACATACGATGTCAAACAGTTTTCATGTGACGTCTCCAAACAAAGTTCAAGACTTAGCTCCAACCAGAACATCCAGAATTTGTGATGGCCAAGAAAACAGTTCTTATACAGTGCTCCTGATGGATCTGATTAAATGAAAAAGTATGGAGACAATGGAAGATAAAAGTTAAGCAACAGAAGAAATTGCAAGGAAAACAAAAGGGGGGTGTCTAATTAACAGATGAAAAGGAGAGGACTGAAATGGTGAAGAGAGAAGTGGAAAGACAAAGCTACAGTAATTCCATTAAAAGCAAGACAAATTCAAACTCTGAAACCCTACTCTCAAGCTAACTGGCCTCACAAAGGGGCTCATTAGTCTCATGAATATTTTTAGTATCTGCAGCAGGATTACACAATGATCTCATCTCCTAAGAGGAGATGTAGACAGCTACAGGGGCTTTATGTCAGGGAACATCAGGAAAAAACACATTCAACCCCTTCCTGGTAAACCCTGGGTTTACACAACACCGAAATGAGATTCTCGAGTTAGCACAAAATATCATGAAAAGTTCAAGATCTTCAAGGAGATGCTTCCATCGGTGAAGAAAGCATTCTGACTTCCAGATAAATTGCCTCTGCCTCCATTTGGCCTCGGTTCCTCTGCTGACACCTGCCTCACCTCCTCCCTCACATGTGTCCTCCTGAGCCCACGAGGAGCTGTGTAACAGCCAGGTGACTGCCATCTGTGGTCAAGGGCTCCTCTCCTCAGCAATCCACAGGAAGCACTTCTCTTGGACGCTGTGTTTCTTTTCCAGTGACACAAACAGACACCACTGGCCCTTAACAATAGTCCTTCCTGGATGAGGTTTTCATTCTGATTTTGTAAAAAAGGCAGTAAAATGTTCCTGCAGCTCTTGTGGGGTCACCCAGCAAGGACTGAGGTCTGCTGCTCTGTGGCACTTCCATCCCTGTCTCCTCTAACCACAACATCTCTCCTCTCTCAGTACAACCATTATGTTACCACAGCTCAAAGAGAAGCTGGTACACACAGCAGCCAGTTGTGAATGCTCAGCTGGGTCTTCTACCTGGCATTTTCTCAGACAGCTCATGTCTTGCACTGTAAGTCTGAAGAGCCCAAGAGGACACCCAGGGCACAGCAATGCTGATATCTGATGCTGTTCTCCAAGCACAGTTCCCTTCCTTTCCTGTTTCTTCCCACTGGCATTGTTCACCGCTGGGATAGGCTGTTCCCCAAGGAGTCATTCAGTGCCAGATCAGAAAAACACAAGCTTTCCATCCAAAAAAGCCCTTTCTTTGAAGGAAAAGGAGCACTAAAATTTAAGAAGGGAAGACTAGATCACTTCACTGCTGCAAAGCACTCCCAATGTCCCAAACAAACCAGATCTCTGAGCAGGACACAAGGTAAAGAATCACAGGGTGGCAATGATGAAAGGCAACACAGAATTACTGAACTGGGCTCTTTGTTCAGCTACATCTGCTCAGACACTCAGGCACAACATGGTCCTGGGAATGGAACGGAGAAGGAGCAAGTGACAACTTTCCAACTGACACAGCTTATACTGTGCAGATTCCTGACCATTAAAAATATATTAAATTTCAAATTAACAAATTCATATTCATTAAATAGAAGACCTGGCCTGCTCCTGACTCTTACACTGCCATCATGATGAAAAGTAACGGCACTGTCAGGCTGAAAAACAGTGAAGCTGGAAAACCAGCCAGTCCAACAACACAAAACATCCACAGGGGCACAGCACAAACCACCACAGGGTTTCTGTGTAAATATATGCTAAAAATCAAGGACAGCAACTAAATCGAGAGATTTTGTGAAATATTTTTTACTATTGCATCACCTCTGTCGTTGTTGTATGAACTTGTGACATTCCTAAGCAACAGCTCACGCTCTACACCATCAGCTGTTGCTCTCAAGCCTCTACTTGTCTTACCAGTACTGGACTGACATGGGCAGCCTGAACAGCCCCAGCCCTCTCAGCCTTTCCTCCCAGAACAGATGCTCTAATCCCTTCATCATCTAGGCAGCCCTTTGCTGGACTCTGTCCAGTATGTCCATCACTCTCTAATCCCAGGTTGCTCAGTCCTTTTCCCAAGAGCTCACCAGAAATTATGCCCTCTCCAGGCACACATTGCACTCCAGTCTCACTCCCTCCTTCAGCCCAGCCAGTAACTCAAAACAATTTTGTTCTGTTAAGTGTTTTGAGCAGGGTATTCTCCTACCAGCTTCTTCATCTTGAATTGATGCAGCAAGGAGAAGCAAAGGAAAGGAGTGCTTGTCCCTCCCTGCCAAACCAAATGAATCCCAGCACAAAAGGTGAGACGAACTTACAAAAACTTTCTGCATGACAAGAATTTATCTGGGGAGGAGAACATGTCATCCAAGAGAAAGGTATTTTAGGGGAAAATGGCCAAAAGTTTCTATTTTAAAGAAATCGGGTATGACAGATGTCTGGAAAACATCTGTGAGATATTCATTTGGGCATAATTTTGAAGTCCTTAATTTTAGGACAATAAGTGAAACAACTGTGGAATGAACCAAACTAATGGCCAGTGCTTAAATAAGACTTCTTATCCTGAATTAATATTTAGCTTTGGAAATGCTCAGACCAACCTGTTAAGGCTTTCAGATGGACAAGTCCCTTTAAAAATGAAGACACCAGGACAGTGGCTTTGTAGGTAACTGAACAACACGCTAATTTAACTTCCCACTTCTTTATTTTCCTGTTGCCCAGCCAGGCAATCCTAACCTACCTTAACAAACTGAGCAGCATAGAAACCTTTTTACCTGCTGGAAGTATTTCTGCCTTGGAGCCAACTCACAACTCCTGACTGCTGCTGAGTGCTCTTTTCTCTTCCATTTCTTAAACCTCACTCACAGGCACGGGCCAAGAGTTACAACACAGGGAAGTACTAAACAGCAGTGAGGGCAGGGCTGGAGCATCCTTCTCCTGAAAACACCTCCCCTGACTTACCTAAACTGTGGCCATTTTTCGTGTAGAAGCAGGTATTGTTGATGAGGTTGACACAGCAGCCGATCACGTCTCCAGTGGTGAACGTGGGGCCGTAGGGCTGCCCCGTCCCCGAGGAACAGAAGGAGTGCCCATCGTCACCATGGTACCCATAAGAATGTTTATCCCATCCTGCAAAAGACAAGACAAAAGAACAGGACAGCAGTGAAGCCAGTTCAGCACAAGCACATGCAACTACAGCTCTCTGGACACAATTTTCTGTCGGAGATTCAAAATTTGATTCCCGTTCCTGATTCATTCCAACATTAATCTTCACATACCAGCAACTGAAAAGGAATTAATGGTCTTTAGTCATAGCACCTTGTTTGGGTTTCAAACTCATTTATGCCTTATGAGAAATAATAAAAATAATAAAGTGTCAACAGTCATTCTGATGGATTCTTTTTTGTTTTAAAAATCATTAAACCCCTGTTTCTCTTTTATCTTGCCTGAAGTGAAACAAACTCCCTTTTGTAAAACATTTGTGGTTCCAAAAGCACAATCTCCCAGCAAAAGCGTATCAAATAATTCTCAACCTGTTGCAGCTTTGTCTGTAAGTGCTGTCACAGGCACAACGAACGGATGGAGGCAGTTTTTGCATTCTCAAATCCACATTTCCCTTCTAACAGTTGATAAGGGTTGCTGTGTTCCCTTTGGGCAACAATATTTCCCACCCTGCAGACAGCTTAAAGCACCAAATGCCTTCAAATGCTGGAGCAGCCACATGCTCAGGGTTTCTAAGAAAAGCACAAAACACTCAGTGCATGCCTAAGTGGTTCATTGCACCACTCCAAATGAACACCAGTGGGAAACTCAGGGAATGGAGCAAGACTAAAACATGCCACAGTCCAAGATTCTGGACATCAGAGCAAAGTTTCGGAGTGAAAGGCGTGAAGGACTCCTAGCAACTCCTAGTCCAGAAATAGTGAATAATTTCCTCTCATAAATCCCACACATCCAAAGGAACAGACTGAGATGTCACAAGAGTCAGCTCTGTCTTCCCTCGGACCAGCTCCAAACAAGCTGTTGACAGTAGCACCAGTCCTGTTCCATATTTTCATGAGAGGCAGGGACAACAGCACAGCCAGCACCCTCAGCAAGCAAAAAACCCATGCCAAATCAACTTGCCAAAACAAAGGAGGGAGAGATAGGGGCTATGGGAGTCTGTTGTCAAACTTGCACTGCTAAGATTCCAGCCAGTAAAAATATCATTGAAATACTGAGTTTTTAACACTCTGGCTCCTTTCCACTATCCCTCTTATTTTCTCCGCTGCCATCACTGAATAGATCATTTTAGTCTCCCCAAAACCAGATCTGTTACATGAGTGTCTATTCAGAACTTCTCTAATGAAGCTGTTGGTAATTTCAGATGATAAATCAATTTATCCGCTAAGCTACTTATAATACAATCCAAACACAGACTTCCAGCTCTTCTGCATACAAAACATTCCTGGCATTACAAAGCATTTAACAAGAACTTGTCATCAGTTACATCCAAGCAGTGAAGTGCTTAAACATCATGTGCTGGGTAAGGCTCCCGTGAGAAGCATGACAGTGTGTCCAACTGCGAGGACAACCACAAAATACTTGTGCCAATGCAGACACTACTGGGTCTGTAGTGTGAGGGGGGAAAAGAAAGGATTAATTACCTACAGGTCACAACTGTTCCTACTAAAAAAACCCTCCTCGTGCTCCTGTAAGATTTGTGCCTCACGGTATCGGTTCTTCCTGCAGCACCAAAGGTGGTGATGAACTCCAGTGAGAAGTGACTGAATAAAGGCCTTGAGGACAGTGACAAATGTGGTATGTACTGCAACAGTGCCTGGAAAAAGCTTGTTTTGAGTCTCAGTTAAGGAAATCCGCTCATCCAGCACTTTGCTAAGGATATACAGAGTTCACTGTTTTCAGCTGAAATGTTGCGTAGCACTGAACGTAGACAGAACCCTAAGGGCTTTAAATCCTGACTGTCAGCCTTATCAAATCATTATGGTCATCTTAAAAAAGCAAGCCAGAGATGTTTGAGAGAACTTACTGTACTCACTGTAAACATAAGCTGAGTGGCATTAATTATATGCCTATCATTAAGTTATTTATTAATCAAATCATGTATCCCTATTTCTAAAATTCAGCCCAGAATAAACATGAAGGCAGTGGCGTACAGGTCATTCAGCCAATCTTCTGAAATTTCCTAATAATCTGACTTAAAAATAACACTCAGCACTTCTAGTACTTCTAGGTCAAAGTTATCTGGGCCTGTTGATTTAAATAGCGTATTCCTGACAGAAATGTTTGGCATTATCTTGGATTAGCAGCAGAATGGGGAGTAACTCATCACAGCTATTTTGAAAACAGCCTCCAACTTCACTCCAAACACAAAACACTTGCTGAAAACTTGGGCCTTTGCTGCATCAATAACAATTTGCTATCGCCACCTAGTAATGGGTCCGGGATATTGCAACCTCTTCTGTGACTCCCACGACACTATTCATGCCTCCAGTGACTCAACAACTCCTTCCTGTGCAAAGTCCAGCAGTGCTTTAATAAGGACCGAATCAGACTTCCTGAATGCCTTCCCCACACCTGCACCTGAAAATTCTCCGGGCGTTTTAACCTCTGTGGAATCTGTACTCAAGTACTTCCAGAAGCCACCGCTGTGACCTGGATGACATGCACGTGCTCTTAAAAAAAGCTGGCCATGTGGGATATGGGGTCAACCTGGACAAGGATGCTCTTGAAGAAGTGAGACAGCAGAGGCACAGGACGAGCACGTATCATGCTCTGACTGAGCAGAGTTACTCCTCTCCAACCACCACAGCACATACAGACTGAGCCAGATGGAGGGTCTGTTCACTCAATACTCCTGACAGGATTTTGTTTCCATTAAATTGTTCAATCCTCCATTAAGCACATATAAACACTCATACCATACCATCCACTGTATCCTGCAACAAGAAGTTTGATAGTGTGACTTGAAACAGCATGAAAATATGCCTTCTACTACTTGTATTGGATACCCTGTAGTTCTTGCACTGGAGAAGATGGCAAACTGTGGATTCTGTCTCTCCAGAACATACGTCATTATACAGACTTCACAAAATCCTCCATAATCATCCCTTTTCCAGGTGTATGACTCCTGGCTTATTCAGCTATTCCCTGCTTTTCTGACCATCATCATCTAAATCTTTCCTGGATTTACAGTGTTGCTTGTGAGAACAGAGATGAAGGTGCCCCGTGGAGAAGGGAAGCAGGCTGTAGTTGTTCTCTGCACTGTTCCCTAGCCCTCTGCAAGTTAATCCTAGCATTTTCCCCTTTATTGTCTTTTTTATCACTGAACTGATGTCTGCATGAAGCCATTGTGGTCACTCAAAGTGCATCACTGCTCTTGTGACAACGCTCCCCTCCGCAGATTCCTGTGTGCCATCTCTCCACCGGCGCCTCAGCTCCCTCCCACAGCTCCTCCCCAGCACCTCTCACCACCCTCAGTGGCTCACAATCCTCAACAGCTAGAGCAGCCCCTCCTGGGACAGCAGAGTACAAGGAGCTGCTGCTAACAAAACCCTGGGAGAACCCATGCCTGAACAGTTCCTGACTGGTAACTCATCCCAACAAGGCTGCGGGGTTTAAATAACATCCCGTTTCAGTCTCTTGGTGGTAGCTGATGTCTAGAGCAATGGACACTTCACACCTACATGCAGTTGGCCAAGTCTAAAAATTCTCAAATGCAAGTGCAGATTCCTCACAAAACTTCAGAAATCTGGACAAAACTGGAGAATGTGTGTTTTGTTATAAAGCACAGGTTGGGCACTCCAGACAGACCACACTCTATAGACTGAAATCAAGTGAGTCAGAGGAGCTGGAGGATCCAGTTAACACAGTTCTCTCCTTCCTTCCTTTTCCTTCCCCATCCTCTCTTCAAAAGCACAAAATCATTTTAAAGAAGGGAGGCAGGCAGAGGACAGAAAGGATCTGGCCACCTGGCCCATGGCAGTGGTCAATGCAGGAGCATCCTGACTCCTAAGACTGTTCTCACTACAGCTTATTGTGAAGACAAGAATACTTTGAACATGCCAATCAGAACCACTCCCCAGGTAGGACCTCAGCAGCTAGTGAGCAAAAAGAGGTTAAAATTACACCCCTTTGAAATGAACCCTTCAACTCCCAAACCCAAAACATATTTACTAACAAGATGCAGAATAGCTCACACTGTGCAGGCAGCAAATGGAAAGAAAGAAAAACAGAAACCATGGGTAGGGCTTGGTAGGACATTTTTGTATGTTCAGCACCCAACTAAGTTCTGTTTGGCCTGCTAACAAGAAAAAGCTGATATGTTGATCTTCTTGGCAGACTATCTTGATCCCAAAACACAGTGAAAAAAAATGAACAGCAAGTTCCATTGCTGCTGCTTGATAAACAGGTCAGAATTATGCAATGTCAGACCACGTGGCAGAAAAGACTTGAGTTACTTCAGGACACAGTTACAGGATCAACTGATAAATGGTCACTCTTAGGCAAGCACTGGAGTTAGATGCACCCCTGACTGTCCTACATCCCTTCCTGCTCAATCCCAACTTGCCCCTTCAATGTCAGCCTTGCTTTACACGACTTTTTAGGCAGATCTTGATTTCTCTACCTGACATCAGGCACTGCCTCATAAAGCAGTGAGTGGGGAAGTGGTTCTATTGGGCTGGGACACCATTTACCTCTCAGCACCGTGGAAATAATGTGGTGATTTAGGTTTCTGCTCCAGGAGTGCCAGCAGCATACACAGAACCTGTGGTAGGCACTGGGCAAAACTGGCATCATGAGTACATCACACATCTGAGAAAACCAGGACCTGGATGTGCTGCTCAACCTCGGAAGCGTGTAGCATCACACAGAGGATGGATGGACGGCAGGCAAGGCAGGATGGAAGTTACCAAGAGCAGCATTTTCACTGTGCCTTTCCTGGCCTGATGCTTTGTTCGCAGTGTGGAGAAGGAAGCCAAGTGATGACATTCCCCTGTGCAACAAGGTTCAAGTGTGTCAGACTTGCCCTTGGGCACAGGAGAACAGAGAAGGCAGAACACACAGGGATCTGTACTGAGCTCCCCTCTGATGACATGCTAAAGGACTGACATGCAAGGCTCAGAGAT